CCAGTGCAGAGAGCGGAGCTGGAAAGGCAGGTAGGACCCCGGGCCCATAACTCATGCAGAGGCTCCACCGCTTGGGACCACAGAGGCCCGGTGGTGTCTGCACTTGGCCGGCCTTGACCCCTCCCCTCCTGCGCCCATCCCTAGGTTCATTCCAGTTTCTGTTTACCCCCTTTCTCCGCCAATCTTCATGCCCCGCCCCGCCCCGCCCCTTTCTGCAGCCTCTACTGAGCCCGCTGTCAATCCCCTGGGACCCAGCCAGAGATTGGGGGATTCCCGAATCTTGGGTTTCACTGGTGGCTCATCTCTCTCAGCTTGCTCCAAACCAAACCAGAGGTGGCCTTAGGAAGCAAGGGAGTGAGTGGCGCCAGGCAGAAGGGGGAAGTTCCCTAAGCTCCGCCCCACCCTCTCTGTTTCCCAAACCCGGGGCTCCGGGACCCACCTTTGACCAGGTCCACGGCGCGCAGCTCGAAGGGGATGCCGTTCTTCTTGGCGAAGATGTAGATGGCGCGGCAGGGCTGGGACAGCAGGTCCAGGTAGAGCTCTAGGCCCATGGCGGGGCAGATGAACCAGACACGCAACTAGCGGGAAATAACAGATCCCTGCGCCAAAACCGGGGCTTGGGACAGCGCCCGGCGCCGCCACGCCTCCTGGCCGCGGCTCCCCATTGGGCGGATGCTGCTGGCGGTTCTTTGGGGACAGCTGGCGGGCCAGGGGCGTGTCCCGGGGCTGGAGTCCCCCAGGGCAGGCGAAAGAAGCTGCCCCTTGTGGGAGGACTGCGGGGAGGGGTGGAGTGCTGCAGGCCCCTCTCGTCCCACCCAGTCCCAGTCTTTCTGTGACTGGTTAATTTCACTTAGCGTTTCGCCTGCCTTCGAGGTTCCTCCAGGCTGTAGCATGTCAGAATTTTCCATCATCCTCATTTCACAGATGGGAAAACTGAGGCACTGGGTATGTTTTTCCCTTTGACCCGGGGCCGTCCTCTTACCCCAGCTCTCCAGAGATCGATCTCCGCGCCAGCAGGTGGCAAAGCCTTGGGCTGTGTAGACCACTCTGTGGCCACTGGCTTCATCCCGACCCACACCTGGGATTTAAGAGCCTCTGTCTTCCTGCTGCCGCCAGGGCAGGGCACTGGGCCATTCCCTGGGAGTCTTAGGGCACAGGGGCTGCTAGAATGAAATACCTAGGTGGGTAATTTACAAACCACAGAGTTCCGAAGGCTGGCAAGTTCAAGATCGAGGTGCTGGTGGATTCTTATCTGGTGAATTCTTATCTGGTGAGGGCTTACTCTCTGGTTCAAAGATGGCGCCTTCTTCCTGCATCCTCACGTGGCAGAAGGGATAAGGCGGCTCCCTTCCACCTCGGTATTTATGTTTTTAGCGGTTTTTGCGTAGGGTGCAGATGCTCCTCAGAGAGAGACAGAGACAGTAAGAGGGAAAGTGAGAAATCACCTCCCAGAGGGATGACCATGCTGCAATCCCTTCTCCTCCATTCTCCTCTTGGGATTTGGGCACACCTGCCGTGACTTTCAGTACACCATGGGGGACGCGAACCATGGTCAGCCATGTGGGAGTCCAGCAGCGTAACCACTATGCCATCTGCTGGCCCCTATACAAGGGCATTAATGTCACAATGAAGGCAGAGCTCTCAAAATGTCATCACTTCCCCAAAGGCTCTTCCCCCCCCCCTTTTTTTTAAAGAATTATTTAATTTTATTATTATTATTAAAATTTGCTATAGAGCATGTGCGAGAGAGAGAGAAAGAACGTAAGAAAGAAGCCACCGTATCTGGGACTCAAACTGCAGTCCGCAATGTGGAAGTCCAGCGTCTTAATCCCCACACCACCCACAGGCCCCAGGCCACAGCTCTGAACACGGTAAGGTTCCCACATATGAGCCTGGAGAGACCCTCATATTCAGAGCATCGCCCTGGGCTTGTTTCTTCCTTTCTCTTGGCTTCTGTGTCTCCATCTTTGTTTTATCATTTTTGCCAGAGGACACATACAATCACCAGAGGGCGACAGAGAGAGGGAGAGGAGGAGAGAGAGGGAGAAAAAGCCGTTCACTAGGATCTGGTTGTGCCACCATCTCGCCTCCATTCCTCCATCCCTTCAGCATGTTTTGCAAGCTGTCGGAGGTGGGACTCAAACTGCTCCGTCAGCCATGTGAGATCCAGCTCCCTTAACCACTAGAACACAGGGTCAGTCCTTTTTGTTTTTTTAAACAATGGGGAGGCTAGAGCCCTGCAGGGCCTTGGTCTCACCT